CGAACTAGTATACACTTACTTTCAAATATTCTGTTCTTTTTACCCATAATTAAACCTTTACATTTTGAAAGAAGCTTTTTTTTTTTGTTATTTTTGACTTTTGTCGCAAGCCTTAGTTCATTTTGAGTCTTAGCTTTCCTCACTTCATCTTTGCAGGCTCGGGCTATTTGCTGATATTCTGCCTTAGTTATGTGCCCTTCTTTCCACTTGTTATACTTGTCCTTTTTGTCTTTCAATTGATCAGAGAGTTCTTTATGCAGCCATGCTGGTTTATTTTGAGAGCTGTTATTTTTCTTCTTCGTTGGTATTGTGCTAGACTGGGTGTTTATTATCTTGCTTTTCAAAATTTCCAAAGCTTTTTGAGTTATTTTCCCCTGGAGGATTCTCATCCATGGAATCCTTCCCAAGTTCTCTCTAAGTTTGTCTATTGCTTGTGCTTGCATAATGTTGAACTCCAATATTGCATGATCACTCCCCCCCCCAAGGTTCCTGTAGCTTCAGTACCTATTGTTTCTTCTCTGTTAGTGAGAATTAAGTCCAATATAGCTGATCCCCTAGTTCCCTTCTCTACTTTTTGGGAAACAAAGTGTCTGCTAAGTTTGTCAGGAATCTGTTTGATCTTCCACTTGGTGCAGAGTTTGTCTCCCAGTTGATATCAGGGTAGTTAAAGTCCCCCATTACTATTGTGATGTGCTTCCTACATACCTGTGTTAGCTAACAAAAGGTTCATCTATTTCCTCTGTTTAGTTGGTTGGGCTGTAGTATACACCTATGGACATGTCATTCCCCCCCGCCCCCCGTTTATATAGACCCAAATGCATTTAAGACAGTTTTCATCATTGTGGTGCTCTACTTCTGTAGAGATGTAGTTATTTCTTATATAGAGAGCAACTCCACCTCCTCTTTTATTTGGTCTGTTTCTTTTAAATAATTTAAATCCCTCTAGCTGTGTGTTCCATTTGTGGGTTTCATCCCACCAAGTTTCCGTAATGGCAGCAATATCATATCTGCCCTCATTTACCTGAATTTCTAATTCACCCTGTTTATTGCTCATACTCTGTGCATTGGTGTATAGACATTTGAGTCCTTTTTGATTGATCCTGTGTTTACTTTCTACATAACCTGTGTGGTGCCTGAGTTTCCCTATTGTCTTACCACCTGTTTGATTAATGCACTTGGTGTGGCACTCACTATTGAAAGCTTGATTTTGCTTGACAGCTAGGTTGATATTCTTGTCCACACACCCCTCTATTTTACATGCACTGATAACCCTATCATTTTTAGATTGCCGGGGACAGGAATGTTCTGTATCAATTAACTCACTGTCCTCGTTGTTTAGTTTAAATATTCTTCCAGAAAATCTGTGAATTTATTGCCAAGTAACTCAGTCCCTTTTTTTGATGGATGCAAACCATCTCTTTTGTATACTTTTTCATTAGATCAGCTGCGGACATCGTGCTTAATATAACCAAAGCCTTCCCCTTTACACCACTCCTTTAGCCACATGTTGAATTGTGCTATACGCTGGCCTTTTCCATTTTGCTCTTTATACACTGGTAAAACCTCTGAAAAAGTAAGCCTACAGTCTATCCTACTAAGTTCCTGTCCCAGGTTCTGGAAATCATTCTGCACAGAGAGTACATCTTTTGGGGACAGATCATTAGTGCCAAGATGTACAATAGCCTCCACATCACAGTCTTTGCTGGCATTCTTGATTATTTTACAAATATGCTTCTTGTCCCTACTGGCAGTAGCACCTGGAAGACACCTGACCTCTTTTGAAACCTCTGTGTCCTTTCCTAAATTTACATCCCTTATAATTGAACCACCAACCAGAAGGTGGCTTCTCTTTTTGGATGCCTTGCTCTTCTTGCATGACTGATGTGTAATACCTGATTCACACTTCTGCCTGTCAAAAACAAGTTCTTCATCTCGGACCACGATCCTCTGCTTATTTGAGTTATCATCACAACTACATTGACCTGTCTCCTTAGTGTCCCTATTAAGGTCAGCAAGGGCACTGTATCTGTTGTGCAGGGACACAGAGCGAAAGCTTTGTGTTTATGGTTCACAGCTCTCACCCTGCCAGATCCCACCATTGTCCACACTGCCCTTCTCCTGCAGGATCTTTGTGGCAGAGGTGGCTGATATCATGGAGCAGAAGGGCTGAACTGGACGCCTAATTTCTGCCTGAAGAGCACAGATTACAGACCCTAGATAGATAATCTGTCCTTGTAAACTAACAATTTGTTTACAAATAGGGCAGTTTCCAAGTTTGAAAACAGTACTGCGAAAGACAGCTGCAAAACAAGTGTTGCACTGAACTAAGCCACTCATTCTGAAATGAAATCATAATCTCAGGTTTTACTTACACTGAATATACTGCTGCTGTTTTCGATTTTTAGTTATGTGATTTGTGCTCCGTTAAGCACATGGGCCGCTACTTTTGTCCTTTGCACTCCTTAACTCACAGATTTCAGTTCTTCCAGCAACCTCTGAGCAGTTTAAAATGAGGGGGGGTCACGTTGTTCACCAAAGCACCAGAGGGCAGGACGAGAAACAATGGTTGGAAACTGACCAAGGAGAGAAGCAACCTGGAATTAAGGAGAAACTTCCTGACAGTGAGGAAAATTAACCAGTGGAACAGCTTGCCACCAGAAATCGTGGGCGCTCCATCACTGGAGGTTTTTAAGAAGAGGCTAGACAGTCACTGGTCTGAAAGGGTATAGGTTCTCCTGCTTGAGCGGGGGGCTGGACTAGAAGACCTCCAAAGTCCCTTCCAGCTCTATTCTATTCTAAGTTGTTCTGAGCTCCGCTCAGGGTCCATCATGTTTATTATTGGAAAGTCTCAAAATCCATCCTGGGACCAATTAAGCTGTCACACCTCTGCAGCCAGGGATGTCCATTTGCACGAGAAGTGGCTGATGGACCAAGCAGAAGTTTTGCAATTGAAAAGCTTCTGCTCAAAGCCTTCTCTGTTTTTCANGTTAGTTATCCCAAGAAAGTCCCGTTGCCTCGTGAGAAAGCACCTTTGGGAAGCCGTGAGTTGGCTTTCAAAAGACAAGCTCCGTTTCGAAAAAAGAAATCCAACTTATTGATTTATTCATTGCTCAAAGAAGCAATAAGACTCCTACGCAACAGACGGGCCCTTGTTCAAAGCCACGGTGAGACCTTTTCTAAATTTTCGGATCCCGAGCAAAGCCTTCCAAAGCAGGATAGGTCAAAGCAGGGGTCTTCAAAGTTGGCCCTTTTGTGACTGGTGGACTTCAACTCCCAGAATTCCTCAGCCAGCGTGCCTGGCTGAGGAATTCTGGGAGTTGAAGTCCACCAGTCATAAAAGGGCCAAGTTTGAAGACCCCTGGACTGGTGGACTTCAACTCCCAGAATTGCTCAGCCAGCGTGCCTGGCTGGGGAATTCTGGGAGTTGAAGTCCACCAGTCATAAAAGGGCCAAGTTTGAAGACCCCTGGACTGGTGGACTTCAACTCCCAGAATTCCTCAGCCAGCGTGCCTGGCTGAAGAATTCTGGGAGTTGGAGTCCACCAGTCATAAAAGGGTCAAGTCTGAAGACCCCTGGACTTGTGGACTCCAACTCCCAGAATTCCTCAGCCAGCATGGCTGGCTGGGGAATTCTGGGAGTTGAAGTCCACCAGTCATAAAAGGGGCAACTTTGAAGACCCCCGGGTCAAAGGAACGCAAGTAGCCAGCAGGATTGCAAGCACTGTGAGATGATATAGCAATAGCCATAGCACTTAGACTTATAGACCGCGTCACAGGGCTTCATAGCCCTCTCTAAGCGGTTTACAGAGTCAGCCTCTTCCCTCCCAACAATCTGGGTCCTCATTTTACCGACCTCGGAAAGATGGAAGGCCGAGTCAACCTTGAGCCGGTCAGGATCGAACTGCTGGCAGTCGGCAGAGTTAGCCTGCAGTACTGCATTCTAACCACTGCGCCACCACGGCTCTTATACGTTTGATTAAATTAAATAAATAAAAATGAAAACCTGGATGGAAAGGATCTCTCACCCTCTCCAGGACTGCCTCGACTGCCATTCCCAGTAAGACCAGTGGCTCCCAGTAAGGCCTGGTGTTAGATTCAGCCTCACCCAAAGAGTAAACCGAGACGAAGCCAAGTTCACTCAAGGAAGCATCGTGAGATGGGTGGTGTTGTTGTTTTTTACAAAAAGTTTACTCGCGGACCACCGAAAAACATCCTGTTCCCCAACACAGAAATTAAAATACACAAACGTAAGGAAATGGTCTCTTGCAACCCATCGGAAGTCCAAAACAACAGGGCAGAAAAAGCCTTCCGCTCCCCCCCCTTCCCGGTGAAAGGCCAAATCTTAACCTGGTTTTAAACAAATCTGAGTTTGTTCGAAAGGTTCTTGGCAATTCTGCCTCTGCAGCCCAGCTTAATGGAGGACGCTCTGCCGTTCTTCACCCCTCTGGGGTTCCTTTGGGCAGCCACAATTCAAGAAGAGACACTCTCTCCTAAAATCCTTGCAAAATTGGGAAACTAAGAATTTTCTAGAACACCCCCCCCTTACCCAGCTTGCCTTCTAGACCCCAGGAATCCTGGCTCATTCTCGACAAAAGTTGGGCTGTCCTAGAGGAGCTGAGTGAGAGAAGAGAGTCAACACCCCTTGGGTTGAAGATCAGGTTCGCACAAACTCAACATCCATGAGGATAGATCTTCTCCCTCACCCTCGCTAGCAGGAAATCTCTCCCGGGGGAGGGGGGAACGATTTCCGGATTCTTTCCAAAGTTTGGAATCTCAAGAACGGCAGAGGGTCAGCCAGAGAAGAAAAGGGGGTGTCCACGGGGTGTCTGAAAGACCCTCAGCTGAACCCTGCCGGGGTCCGCGTCTCACAGCGTCCCGTCCATCTTGAGGTGAAGGAACGGGAAAGTTGTCCCCATGCTCAATTTTTTTCCTCCATGCGGGGTTCCAGGCAGAAGCGTTGCGTGACGGAACGTGGAATTTTGGAAACCATTCAACGGGGAGAAGAGGGCCGGTGTCTTTTCCGACACCACCACCCCGGAAGGGTGAGTAGGAGGATCTAAGATGGGTTGACCTGACCCAGAAGAGATGACCTTCTCCCACCTGCCCAGAAGGGACCCCCATTAGCGAATTCCACAGTCTTCTTCTCCACCCTGCAGCTTCTCCATCTCCACCGAATGGACCAGTTCCTGGACAAACTTCATCTCGGAAGCCATCTGCTTGGCCAGGGCCTCGTAGCGGTTCTCCAGCTTCCTGAGATGTCGCTTCAGACGGTTGGCTGCCAAGGAGGTACTCTTGGCCTCTTCTTGAGCTTGCCGCTTCAGGGCCTCCGTCTTCTGCATCTCCTGCTGGATCTGGCGGAGATCCTGGCTGATGGCCTCGTTCTCCTCCTTGTACCACAACTCCTTCTCCTCATAAATGGAGCGCAGGGCCTCAATGTCCTCCCGGAAAGACCTCTTGCTCTGCTGCAGCTCGCGCAGGCTCTCCTCGGCCACCGCCACCTCCTCCAGGACCTTGGAGAAGCGCTCAAAGTTGATGTAGGTGTTATTGGGCGGCATGCTGGAGTGGGACTTGATGGTGTATTCCTTCAGCCGGGTGGTCTTCAGGCGCCGTCGCTCTGGCTTCTTGCCGTTGTCTTCGTTGCGTACGTTCCGCCTCTTGATCACCTGATTTAAAAAAAGGAGGGGGCAAAACTCAGGAATAGCAATAACAATAGCACTTGGACTTATATACCACTTCACAGTGCTTTACAGCCCTCTCTAAGCGGTTTACAGAGTCAGCCTATTGCACCCCCAACAATCTGAATCCTCACTTTACCGACCTCGGAAGGACGGAAGGCTGAGTCCACCTTGAGACAGTCAGGATCAAACTGCTGGCAGTCGGCAGAGTTAGCCTGCACTACTGCATTCTAACTATTGGGGAGGAAGGGAGGGAAAAGGAAGGAAGGAAGGAAGGAAGGAAGGAAGGAAGGAAGGAAGGAAGGAGGGAGGGAGGGAGGGAGGGAGGGAAGGAAGGAAGGAAGGAAGGAGGAAAGCAGGAAGGAAATGAAAAGGAAGGAAACAAAAAGGAAGGAAGGAAGGAAGGAAGGAAGGAAGGAAGGAAGGAAGGAAGGAAGGAAGGAAGGAAGGAAGGAAGGAAGGAAATGTCAATAGCACTTATATGCCACTTCACAGTGCTTTACAGCCCTCTCTAAGCGGTTTACAGAGTCAGCCTATTGCACCCCCGACAATCTGGGTCCTCATTTTACCGACCTTGGAAGGACGGAAGGCTGAGTCTACCTTGAGCCAGTCAGGATCAAACTGCTGGCAGTTGGCAGAGTCAGCCTGCAATACTGCATTCTAACTACTGGGAAGGAAGAAGGGCCAGAAGGGAGCTGAGGAGATCATAGACACATAGGGCCAGAAGGGAGCTGGGGAGACCATAGACGCATAGGGCCAGAAGGGAGCTGGGAGGTCATAGATTCATAGAGTTGGAAGGGTCCTGGGAGATCATAAAGCTGGAAGGGAGATGGGAGGTCATAGATTTGCAGGGCCAGAAGGTTCCTGGGAGATTACAGACTCATGGGGCTGGAAGGGACTTGGGGAGGGGGGGAGAGAAATCATAGACTCAATGGGCCAGAAGGGACCTGGGAGGTCAGAGAAGCATAGATGCATAAGGTGGGGCAGACAATCTTAAATATCAAGACTGTTTTGAACAACGTAGTTTTTACCTTGATCCACGGGTGCTCCAAGCTTTGCTCAATTGTCATCCGTTTCCTGCAATCATCAAAAGGAGCAACGGTCAATTTTAGGATCGGGGCAAAATGTATGGAAAAAAAAAGGAGAGTGCCATTCCATTTCCATCGGTCGCAGAGAAGCCATACAAACTTCAGCATCCTTCTGGACCACTGACCATCACCTCTCAGGACCCTTTCAAGGAGAATATTGCCTGCACAGTCACCTTCTCAAGAGGAAAGGAGAGAAAACCCAGCCCAAACTTCGGTGTGCCTTCCTTGTTCTGCTCCAAATTTATATATTTAGCTTTAGAGAGAGAAAAAAAACTAAGACCTTCATACTGCAGTCTTTCCAAGACTGGGTAGTAATAATAATAATAATAATAATAATAATAATAATAATATAAATAATATAAATAATAATAATAATAATAATAATAATAATAATAATAATAATAATAATAATAATAATATAAAAAATAAAAATAATAAAGTTGGAAGGGACCTTGGAGGTCATCTAGTCCAACCCCCTGCTCAGGCAGGAAACCCTATACCATTTCAGACAAGTGGCTGTCATCTCTTCTTAAAAACCTCCAGTGTTGGAGCATTCACCGNGTTAGTTATCCCAAGAAAGTCCCGTTGCCTCGTGAGAAAGCACCTTTGGGAAGCCGTGAGTTGGCTTTCAAAAGACAAGCTCCGTTTCGAAAAAAGAAATCCAACTTATTGATTTATTCATTGCTCAAAGAAGCAATAAGACTCCTACGCAACAGACGGGCCCTTGTTCAAAGCCACGGTGAGACCTTTTCTAAATTTTTGGATCCCGAGCAAAGCCTTCCAAAGCAGGATAGGTCAAAGCAGGGGTCTTCAAAGTTGGCCCTTTTGTGACTGGTGGACTTCAACTCCCAGAATTCCTCAGCCAGCGTGCCTGGCTGAGGAATTCTGGGAGTTGAAGTCCACCAGTCATAAAAGGGCCAAGTTTGAAGACCCCTGGACTGGTGGACTTCAACTCCCAGAATTGCTCAGCCAGTGTGCCTGGCTGAAGAATTCTGGGAGTTGGAGTCCACCAGTCATAAAAGGGTCAAGTCTGAAGACCCCTGGACTTGTGGACTCCAACTCCCAGAATTCCTCAGCCAGCATGGCTGGCTGGGGAATTCTGGGAGTTGAAGTCTACCAGTCATAAAAGGGCCACGTTTGAAGACCCCTCAGCACACTGGCTGAGGAATTCTGGGAGTTGAAATCCACCAGTCATAAAAGGGCCAACTTTGAAGACCCCTGGACTTGTGGACTTCAACTCCCAGAATTCCTCAGCCAGCATGCCTGGATGAGGAATTCTGGGAGTTGAAGTCCACACGTCATAAAAGGGCCACGTTTGAAGACCCCCGGGTCAAAGGAACGGAAGTAGCCAGCAGGATTGCAAGCACTGTGAGATGATATAGCAATAGCCATAGCACTTAAGACTTATAGACCGCTTCACAGTGCTTCACAGCCCTCTCTAAGCGGTTTACAGAGTCAGCCTCTTGCCTCCCAACAATCTGGGTCCTCACTTTACTGACCTCGGAAGGATGGAAGGCCGAGTCAACCTTGAGCCGGTCAGGATCGAACTGCTGGCAGTCGGCATAGTTAGCCTGCAGTACTGCATTCTAACCACTGCGCCACCACGGCTCTTATAAGTTTGATTAAATTAAATAAATAAAAATGAAAACCTGGATGGAAAGGATCTCTCACCCTCTCCAGGACTGCCTCGACCGCCATTCCCAGTAAGACCAGTGGCTCCCAGTAAGGCCTGGTGTTAGATTCAGCCCCACCCAAAGAGTAAACCGAGACGAAGCCAAGTTCACTCAAGGAAGCATCGTGAGATGGGTGTTGTTGTTTTTTACAAAAAGTTTACTCGCGGACCACCGAAAAACATCCTGTTCCCCAACACAGAAATTAAAATACACAAACTTAAGGAAACGGTCTCTTGCAGCCCATCGGAAGTCCAAAACAACAGGGCAGAAAAAGCCTGCCACTCCCCCCCCCTCTTGGTGAAAGGTCAAATCTTAACCTGGTTTTAAACAAATCTGAGTTTGTTCGAAAGGTTCTTGGCAATTCTGCCTCTGCAGCCCAGCTTAATGGAGGACGCTCTGCCGTTCTTCACCCCTCTGGGGTTCCTTTGGGCAGCCACAATTCAAGAAGAGACACTCTCTCCTAAAATCCTTGCAAAATTGGGAAACTAAGAATTTTCTAGAACACCCCCCCCCTTACCCAGCTTGCCTTCTAGACCCCAGGAATCCTGGCTCATTCTCGACAAAAGTTGGGCTGTCCTAGAGGAGCTGAGTGAGAGAAGAGAGTCAACACCCCTTGGGTTGAAGATCAGGTTCGCACAAACTCAACATCCATGAGGATAGATCTTCTCCCTCACCCTCGCTAGCAGGAAATCTCTCCCGGGGGAGGGGGGAACGATTTCCGGATTCTTTCCAAAGTTTGGAATCTCAAGAACGGCAGAGGGTCAGCCAGAGAAGAAAAGGGGGTGTCCTCGGGGTGTCTGAAAGACCCTCAGCTGAACCCTGCCGGGGTCCGCGTCTCACAGCGTCCCGTCCATCTTGAGGTGAAGGAATGGCAAAGTTGTCCCCATGCTCAATTTTTTTTCCTCCATGCGGGGTTCCAGGCAGAAGCGTTGCGTGACGGAACGTGGAATTTTGGAAACCATTCAACGGGGAGAAGAGGGCCGGTGGCTTTTCCGACACCCCTCCCCCGGAAGGGTGAGTAGGAGGATCTAAGATGGGTTGGCTTGACCCAGAAGAGATGACCTTCTCCCACCTGCCCAGAAGGGACCCCCATTAGCGAATTCCACAGTCTTCTTCTCCACCCTGCAGCTTCTCCATCTCTACCGAATGGACCAGTTCCTGGACAAACTTCATCTCGGAAGCCATCTGCTTGGCCAGGGCCTCGTAGCGGTTCTCCAGCTTCCTGAGATGTCGCTTCAGCCGGTTGGCTGCCAAGGAGGTACTCTTGGCCTCTTCTTGAGCTTGCCGCTTCAGGGCCTCCGTCTTCTGCATCTCCTGCTGGATCTGGCGGAGATCCTGGCTGATGGCCTCGTTCTCCTCCTTGTACCACAACTCCTTCTCCTCATAAATGGAGCGCAGGGCCTCAATGTCCTCCCGGAAAGACCTCTTGCTCTGCTGCAGCTCCCGCAGGCTCTCCTCGGCCACCGCCACCTCCTCCAGGACCTTGGAGAAGCGCTCGAAGTTGATGTAGGTGTTATTGGGCGGCATGCTGGAGTGGGACTTGATGGTGTATTCCTTCAGCCGCGTGGTCTTCAGGCGCCGTCGCTCCGGCTTCTTGCCGTTGTCTTCGTTGCGTACGTTCCGCCTCTTGATCACCTGATTTAAAAAAAGGAGGGGGCAAAACTCAGGAATAGCAATAACAATAGCACTTGGACTTATATACCGCTTCACTCCAACCTCAGAAGGACGGAAGGCTGAGTCAACCTTGAGCTGGTCAGGATCGAACTACTGGCAGTGGGCAGAGTCAGCCTGCAATGCTGCATTCTAACCACTGCGCCACCAGGGCTCTTGAGAGAGAGAGAGAAACAGACAGATGGAGACAGAGACCGATAGAAGACAGAAAGACAGACAGATATAGAGATATGATAAATGAGTTAGCAATAGTACTTAAGACTTATATACCGCTTCACAGGGCTTTACAGCCCTCTCTAAGCGGTTTACAGAGTCAGCCTATTGCACCCCCAACAATCTGAGTCCTCACTTTACCGACCTTGGAAGGACGGAAGGCTGAGTCCACCTTGAGCCAGTCAGGATCAAACTGCTGGCAGTCGGCAGAGTCAGCCTGCACTACTGCAGTCTAACTACTGGGAAGGGAGGAAGGGAGGGAAAAGAAAGGAAGGAAGGAAGGAAGGAAGGAAGGAAGGAAGGAAGGAAGGAAGGAAGGAAGGAAGGAAGGAAGGAAGGAAGGAAGGAGGAAAGCAGGAAGGAAATGAAAAGGAAGGAAACAAAAAGGAAGGAAGGAAGGAAGGAAGGAAATAGCAACAGTTTGACTCTGTTGCTCCCGAGGACGTGGACAGGGTCCTGGGTAGGCTGAATGCAACCACATGTTTGTTGGATCTGTGCCCCTCCTGGCTGGTACTGGCAGCTCGGGAGGGTACACGAGCCTGGCTCCAGGGAATTATCAACGCTTCCTTGCAGGAGGGTGTCTTCCCGGCGGCCCTTAAGGAGGCCGTCGTGAGGCC